CTCCTCCTCCTCCTCCTCCTCCTCCCCCTCTCCTCTTCTCCTCCTCCTCCTCCTCCTCCTCCTTGTCCTCCTCCTCCTCCTCCTCCTCCTCCTCCTCTCTTCCTCCTCCTCCTCCTCCTCCTCCTCCTTGTCCTCCTCCTCCTCTTCCTCCTCCTCCTCTCCCTCCCTGCCTCCCTCCTGTGCTCACTCACGCACTCACTCGGTCACTAACTCCCTCCGCCTCCGCCGCCTCCTTCTCCTCCTCCTCCTCCTCTTTCTCCATTTGTTTTTCTTATACTTACTTCTTTCCTTTCGCATCCCGAGTTTCGCCTGAGTTTTTTCAATGTCTATGACCCTGAAGCCTAAACATTGGCAGCCGTTTTACAGATGGAGCGCGGGTGGGTTTCAAGATGTGACTCTTGTCGTAGCGCCGCACACATCCGTTCTAAACCATTGCAGGAGTTTCACGGGTAGAGGGCGGATGGCTTTCAATATGTGGCTCTCACTTGATCGAATTGCATGTTCGCCTTAAACTATTGCAAGGGCTTCACGGATTGAGGGCGGTTCGTTTTCGAATTTTGGCTCTCGTCTTAGCGCCGTTCATATTCGTCTTAGAAGTATGCAGGAGTTTTACTGATTGAGGGCGGTTCTTTTTCAACATGTGGCTCTCTCGCCTCAGTGCCGCGTACATTCGTCTTAAACCATTGCGAGAGTTTCACGGGTTCCCTTTTTTAGCGTCCCAGAATTTTTGTTGTTGGAGCGGCTCACGATGGTCAGGGCGCAACAGTTACTACTGATTCGCGGTGTTGAAGCCCCAGGGGTGGCATTCTGGCACTATTCAGGGTCATGAGGACGCAACAGTCAGGTTGATTAGCGGCGCTGAAGTTCCGATACTGGTTTTGGAACGCTTCAGGAACTCCAAACGGTTGTTTCCCAACGGGTTGCTTGAGTAGACGTGTATCTTTGTACGGGCTTATGAACAAGGGAACTTGGGGTGAGGGTCTATTTCGACATCGTTGATGAGTCTTGGGTTAATCTGGTCCTCTCCTCCTCTCCCTCCTCTTCCTCCTCCTCCTCCTCCTCCTCTTCCTCATCCTCCTCCTCCCGCTCCCCCCCTCCCCTCCCCGTCCTTCCCCGCCCTTCTTCATCCCCCTTCCCCCTTGTGTATGCGAGGGGAGATGCGGGGGGGGGAGGAGAGGCAAAGTGGACGAGGGGAGAGGGGCGTGGCTGGGTGGAGGCAGCCATATTTATCGCAGTGCTTTCCGGCAGTTCAATACTTGCGAACGATGCGGGACGAAGACAGGCACGGGGGTGGAGGACGAATCTGACAAGGAGAAGGCGCGCTTCGCCATTGCATGCGTCGTAGTTCAGGATGTCCTCGCCATAACTCAGGCAACAGCAGCAGATGCAGTGATGACGCGTCGCGCTACCTTTGAGAGGCGGCAATCGAGGGCTTGAATGGACGAACCTCCAGTTTCAGAATGCAGCCATCGATTCGGTGGGCTGCTCGACAGCGGGAAGAAACCAACATCTTCGAGTTCTGACGTGTGCATCGGCATGGTTGTTGATGTGGAGATGGTTCCCGTGTGTCTGTGTCGCTGTCAGCTCAATGCAGCCGAGCTGAGGTATCGACACTTTCTTTGGCCACCTCTTGTTGACCTGGACGTGATCGTTGTGCCCGAGCGAGACCGCAGCAAGGTCAAATTACCAGAGAAGTACGACTTTCTGTCGGAGGATGGCACTTCCTCCATCTCGGCTGCCGAGGGATAGATCGTAGGATGGTAAAGCTCGAGGAGAAAGCGGAGTGTGAGCAGGATGGGGCTGGGAAGGAGGCGAATGAGGACTGGGAAGAGGGGGATGAGGAGCAGGAGGAACAGCAGGATAGTTTGGGTGATGTCACTGATAATGTTGCTGCTGCCGGTGAGGATGATGATGCACATATGTAGGATATGTCGTTGACGACGATCGCGGTGTCGGCAATTTGTCAGCAATGGCGGCTGTGATGATCAATACTGCTATGGCAACCTGGTAACGGTAACAGGGACCGTGAGGATGATTGTGAATATTTGCAACGCGCGAGTATTGTCAGCAAACGCCCTGCTTTCCGAGGGCCGTGCTGTGACTGCTACTCCCGCCTAGTCACTTCTGCCACTGCTTCTTGGCCTTCTTATCTTCGTCTCAATCACATTACGTTTCCTCACCCAGTCTCAGATGTTGTGCTCAAGTGTTGTGCCTTGTACCGTGCCGACCACGCACCGAGAACCATTGATGGGTGACCTGGACATCATGGGTGCAGCAGCGTTGGTCAGCGTGATGATCACCTGTTTTTTTTCATTCGGGCGAATACTGTAGTATATAGCTCTGAGGCTTCGTTGTCGATCGGTCGAACAGCACTTCTTCTGGGATCAACGGATACAGCTGGGCGCATTTATATAACAAATTCGGATATGCTAATTCTACGGAGCCAGATCGTACGGTGGCCGGTGAATGCGACTTCTTCTTCGTACTCAGGATTCCGTCT